CCCAAAACAGTAAAACAAGCAACAAGTTAATTCACCCAAAGCTGCAGAAGGGGGAATTGACTCCATTACAAAAGAGCACGGAACAACTAAGTGCTTGAGGTCAGAATGATCCAACTGTAGCAGGTATTATTAAAACCCTACAAAAATAAGGTGGGTTTTTTTCTCCTTTCCCCTTCCTGTGCTTTGCAGCTGGTCCCAGTGACTGCGTTCCTCACCATTCCTGTGCTGGAGCTCTCTTGCGACACGTTGGATTTCAAGACCTGCTTTGTTGCACAGACCAAGACTGAACACGTCTTCCTGTGGAACAGGAGTGGCTGCAGAAGTTACTGGACTGCTTTGCTGGGTATTCTGGGTTTGCAGTTGGATTTCCTTGTTATATAGTTTCACTATTCAGAGTTTTTCTATAGTAAGACTGCACGCACTCACTCAATATATAGCCAATATACAATCACATTGGCTGCAAACATCAGGTCTGCTTCTCCTCTTAATTATGTGGCTTCCTGTGGAACAGGAGTGGCTGCAGAAGTTACTGGACTGCTTTGCTGGGTATTCTGGGTTTGCAGTTGGATTTCCTTGTTATATAGTTTCACTATTCAGAGTTTTTCTATAGTAAGACTGCACGCACTCACTCAATATATAGCCAATATACAATCACATTGGCTGCAAACATCAGGTCTGCTTCTCCTCTTAATTATGTGGGCTTTTTTTTTCTTGTTTTTTTTCTTTCTTTTTTTTTTTTGACATCAGTGTATCTCTACTGATTTCAGCAGTTACTCCAAGTATAACCAGAAGATTGAATCCCAGCCCTCATAGGTAGTGGACGTGCTTTGTGTATGTATTATACAATCCTAAGGGGCAAGAAGAAGCACCAGCTCCTCATGAGCTCGGTTTGAGCTTGTGCTTCATGACATCAACAACAGATAGATTTCAAAGCAAAGATGATCAGGGCCTTATTAATTAGACAGGGAGGCCACTGATTGGCCCCTTTGATTAGAAGACAGAAAGAGGAACCAGCCACATGCCCAGAAAGCCTCTGAGAGGGCGAGACATAATTTATCAGTTGGCTGGTAACAAGGAGGCGCGTTGTTTTGAGCTCTATGTGTTGTACAAACTTATACAAAGGATCTTGTATTGCTTTGTTTGGTATTTCCCCCTTTGCTGCAGATGCAGAGGAAAGGCATAACGACCTGGAAGTGTTTTCTGTCTCTCCTGCTCATGGCGTTTTGGAGGCACGAGAAGGGGACGCACCTACCAAAGAGATTTTGCAGATCAGCTTCACTGCAAGGTAGTACAACTTACAGTTGTCAGGGCTGAAATCGTGCTGTTATTCCCTGTCAAGCCCAGACTTATGGTGTGAGCAGTCACTTGTGTTACCCCACTGCTCACTCTGCTTCTAACACTAGCCACTCCTGGCCTTCCAGCTGGTACCTTTTCCATACAACCATGGTCCCTACACTGCTCCCTCGTACAGGATTTCTTTTGGAATTGGCACCTGGAATGCCAGACTTTACATTTACCCACTCAAATTCATGCTGTTCCCACAGTTGGTGTGACAGCACTGACCGTGTACCACCGCTTAAAATCCCTTCCTCTGGGGCAATGTCTTCAACAGAGGACACAACTCTGGCCTGTGAACCAGACACTGATACAACAGTCCATGCCTTTCTGCATCCAGCACTTCATTAGGACAGAGGGAGAAATGTGGCTGGAGTAGTCCAGAATTCCAGGAAAGCATCCATTTGTCATGCAGGAAAGCACAATCTCAGGGATCTTCCATGATTGTTTGTGTGGCTTCTCTCTAAAAGCAACTGTTTGAAGTCCTGTACGTCCCTATGTGCATTCAGAGTTCCTCTTGATGAAGCAAATGGAGTAAAACGTTATTCCAGTGCAGTGACAGAATTTGTTTTAACCCTTAGCCTTTAGCCCTTAGCCTGGTGCAATGTTCAGTGCAACAGGCATGTTGATGTTTGATGAGAGAGAGAAAAAAACCAAAAAAACAATCTATTTTTCTTGCCTCTAGTCCATGTTTTCTACACAGCAAAGATAATGTGAGCTCCAGGCTCAGCTGACAGCAAAGAACAGAAGAAAGTAGATTAAAATTACTTTTTTGTCCTGTAAACTTCTAATACGGTTTAATGGTTTTTGGGTTTTTGCTTATTTCTTATTTATTTTTTTTGTCAGAGTTAGGTTGATGGTTGGATGGTTTAGTGGTTTTTGGTTTTTTTTGCTTATTTCTTATTTATTTTTTTGTCAGTTAGGTTGATGGTTGGACTAGATGATTTTTAAGGTCCCTTCCAACCTAGGCGATTCTATGATTCTATGTTTCCAATATTTTCCTAATTATGTTCATGGTCATCTTATCATAACCTTCTGTCAAGGCTAGATATTAGTTGTAAATGGAAGAGGCAATGACCCGAAGCCTTTAATATCTTTGCTCTAATTAGGGAGATGCAACTCCTCTTGTAGGAAAATTGAGCTTCCATTACAAAGTATTTTCTTGGAAGTTATCACCTGGTGGCAAAAAGTTTGAGACAAGTCCATTTCAGTGATGGGGAAGGGTCCAACTCCAGCCAACACATGGTGGCAAAAAGTTTAAGACAAGTCCATCCCAGTGATTTTAATGATGGGGAAGGGTCCAACTCCAGCCAACACGTTACTGTCCAGCTTCAGAACATGCCTGGAGACCTCAGTGGCTGGAGCCACTCAAACCTCAGTGGGACAAGGCCTGGAGCAGTTCTCCCCGCTCAGAGGGATGTGGTGGGCCAGAGACCTCCCCAGGCTCCCGATGGCCAACATTTTTCTGGAGTGCTCATGAATATGCCCAAAGTGCTCCTTTTTGTCTGCCAGGTACACTAATTGGTATGCCTCAAAGTACCAGAAAATAAGGATGTTGCTGTGTGGCAGCCAGCTCAGCTCTTCAGCTCCAGACGAAGAATTCCCAGCACAGCGGAGCGCAGGTCTCGGCCTGGCATTAGTAAATAACAATATGCAAGGTGTGAGACAATTTTAATAATTCAGGACCCTACATCAGTGGTTTTCCTGCAGGGGAATTTTGTATGAGAAGGAAAAAAATATAAGCTGTCTGCCAGAACAGGCTCTTGCCCCAGGGCTTTGCGATAAGCTGTCTCTTCGACGCAGAGAAGTCCTTCAGATGAAGAGTCCTGGGAGCGTTGGGTACCATTAGCCTTAGGCAAGTTATTCTGGAAGAATTCCACTTGGCACAAGGGATAAGACACTTGCTGTAAGCTCCTGATGTTCATTTACCACCTGCACTCCAGTGACTGCCCCTTCTCTTAGGGGACCCCACAGAAACTTTTCCATTTCAAACTCCATCCATCACAGGGATGAGTTTTCACCTCAGGGCAGCACAGGCTCCCAGACACTCGCCCCCAGCAGAGCTTTGTTTTATTTATTTAACTAAAATGGAATTTCACAAGTAGGAAGGCAATCGAGTTCTTCCTTCAAACACAAAGTTAATAATCCAGGCTTTCCTTTGGGTACATACCAGACTGTTCTTTTCACACATCCCTATGGGACCGTGGAAGGTGACACCATGAAGCGAGATGATTGTCACCCACGGGCTCAACACTGATGGCAGAGCCCAGTGCTTGATCGAGTTCTTCCTTCAAACACAAAGTTAATAATCCAGGCTTTCCTTTGGGTACATACCAGACTGTTCTTTTCACACATCCCTATGGGACCGTGGAAGGTGACACCATGAAGCGAGATGATTGTCACCCACGGGCTCAACACTGATGGCAGAGCCCAGTGCTCGTGACTCGGAGCGATTGATGTCTCAGGGCACCACGCTCCCCTTTTTCCTCATCTCAACCAGAGAATTGCATCAAGCTGTAACTGAACTGTCTTTTCTCTGCATTTTAGGAGCAACATTGACTATGAAACGATGGTGACCATCACTGGAATGCTGGGAGAGAAGCCGTGCAAACTACAGCTCAGGGGACGCGGAACGTACGATGGAAAGTATGAAGACCTGTCTTTAATTTAAGCAAGACAACGTGGGACAGGGCAAGGTAATGCGTTGGATGCAGATGTGCCATCAGTCCAGCCTGTATTTTCATCTACTTTAGTTGTTTTAATATGGATTGGAATTTTAGCAGAATGAAATGTTAAATTATGAGGAAAAACCCTCATACTTTAAAGAAAATAGTTATTAATCTCATTCTGTGCTATTTTATTGCCATGATAAGCTCACCCTTACCCACAGAACTGGGCTCTGCAAAATAATGGAGTCTATTGTGAAGCAGCTGATGGTACCAGGGAGGTCAAACCTGCCCAGCCTGCCTCAAACTACAATTAAAGACCCTTTGTACCTTAAACAGCAGCTTTAGTTCTGCCTTGTTTATTTCTTTGACATTAAAATGGACGTTGACACATAATAAAAGCAAGAATTAATGCACAGGCCAGCCCTCCCCTGGCTGCCTTCTCATCCGGAGATGAAAAGGGGAAGAGCCAACTTTCCCTGGACTCCTTGGAAAACTCCCAGCCTGGATGTTTCATCATGCTCGGGTATGAGAACATCCCCTTCAGCTACACAGGGAGGAACCTGCTGCCTTTTAATTCTTTCCCCCCACATGGTTCTCATTTACTCACACTTCTCTTTAAAATGTTTTTAGTATTACTTTAACTAAAGGTCACTGAAATTCCCACTTCTGAGCCTGTTCAGTTTTCCACTCCCATCACATAAAAGGGTTTTGTTGAAGGCAGAGGAGGGGGCTTCAATCCACACCTGAGAACAAAAGCTGCCCCGTAGCCACGTTCTGTGCTCAGTTTATACACAGGAACCTCACTGTGAAAAAAGGACCCTCAAAAAGATGCCAACGCCCCTCTGCCCCCTCTAAGTAATTGATTCTTTTTTTTGCTCTAAAATACAGCAGCTGCCATTGCTGAGTGAGCCAGGCTCCAGGAATGTGGGAATATAAACTCTCTCTCTGCAGCTAACGACGACCTTCAGCGAACAATCATCACCAAAAGAATACAAATATATTGCAAGAACCCAATTTGTATTATTAAGTGCAAAACCAAGAGCCAGCACAAAGCACTTCAGTCCGTGTTACGCATTTAAACTCCTCTAACATGTCAAGGATGCTGAGTCCATTTGATGGTAACGATGATGATGATGAGCACATTTCTTTTTCAAGCCGTTAGCTCTGAGCTTCAGTGATCTGATGATTCCTCACAAGAGGAAGAACAGATAAAGGAGAACTTTACAGGATGAAACACATATTTTGCTGCTGTTCATGTAGTGCTGGCAGTAAGAGTAATGCTGAAATCTGATTTCTGTCAGGTAAGTAAAGATTATTAAGCATAAGCTTGTTCTTTTAAGTTAGAGTCACACAAGCTGATAATTAGAAATGCGTTAGAAAAGGTGGAATGGCCACGGTTACATTCCTGGCTTCTATAAATCATCAAAACCTTTCTCTTCAGGCACCTCAATGGTTTGTTTGCTCCTGAGTAAATTACTTTCTAGTCCTTCCACACTCCCCCACTGGAGGCTTCTGAGCAGCTTGGGTAGAAGTAGAAAGTTCCAGCACATCCCCCAGCACAGGGACAAGTTAAGACACAGCCGATCTACGGCTCGGATGGGACAGAGAGAGTTGTGAGGGTGTTTAGTCTTTGCACGCCTTTCAGAACAAGCTCTTCCAGATCTCCTACAAGATGGTGAAATCATTTAAGGAAATTCTGGAAAAGCTTTTTCACGTGCACTGTTGGTTTCATTTTGAGCAACCGCTTTAGACGATTTGTCATACAAAAATCCTGTACCATGAACTACTTCTCGCTGAGAATAGTCACAGAACAAAGGGCTCAATTAGATTAGAAATACTCCTTTGTCATCGCCACACGAGGGCCTGTGGTTGAACTTCAGCTGAGCTCCTTTCTCTTTCCTATGGGGATGCTTTTTTAACCCTGAAGCAAATGCCTGTTTTGCATTTTCCTACCTGCTTTCTCGATCTGTACGATTTATTCTGCTTCCCAATTTGTGCCTACAATTTGTAGATCTAGTACCGACTCCCTGACTGGGGTTGATTCCACAGTGCAAATCATTTGCTATGGCTTCATGAAGGCTGCTGGGGTTTAGTTCCCCGGGTACTCGAACACGGCGGCGGCGCCCATGCCCGTCCCGATGCACATGGATACGACCCCGTACGCCCTGAAACAAAAGGACACATGGAATTCAGAGAAAGAAAGATCAGGTTTAGATCATACAGGGGGAAAAAAGAATAAATCTGAGCTACACACTGCTCTCCTGTGTGTCGCCAAGAGATTCTAACCCTGGAGCAGGTGCTGGTGCCCTGGAGAGTGTTTGCAGAGCACATGGGGACATGTTCCTCTGCCTTCTTTCTGCACCAGGAGCAACTGGGAGGGCTGGGACTGAAGTGTTGCAGCGCAGCCTTGCAGAGCCACCAGCTCTGGCTGCTGAATTGCTGCTCTAACACTGCATGGCAGAGGTGTCTACTCCAGGTGTCTACTGCACCACCACGGACCAGGAGAGACTCCATTGATGGGCAGCAAGAACCATCAGGAACTCATAGAATCATAGAATCATTGAGGTTGGAAGAGACCCTTGGGATCATCGAGTCCAACCATCTACCCCACTCTACAAAGTCCTCCCCTACACCATATCCCCCAACACCACATCTAAATGGCTCTTAAACACATCCAGGGATGGTGACTCCACCACCTCCCTGGGCAGCCTATTCCAATGCCCTATCACTCTTTCAGTGAAAAATTCCTTCCTAATGTTCAATCTAAACCTACCCTGTTGGAGCTTGAAGCCGTTCCCTCTCGTTCTATTGTTAATTACCTGTGAGAAGAGACCAAGCACCAATCTCTCTACAGTGTCCTTTCACGAAGTTGTAGAGGGTGATGAGGTCTCCCCTCAGCCTCCTCTTCCTCATACTGAACAGCCCCAGCTCCTTCAGCCGCTCTTCATATGATTTGTCTTCTAGGCCCTTCACCAGTTTCGTTGCCCTCCTCTGCACTCGCTCCAGCACCTCGATATCTCTCTTGGATTGAGGTGCCCAAAACTGGACACAATACTCGAGGTGTGGCCTCACCAGTGCTGAATACAGGGGCACAATCACCTCCCTACTTCTGCTGGTCACACTATTTCTAATACAAGCCAGCAAAGGGATGGAGAAAGCTTAGCCCGACGTGGTGGTTACTTCTGAGCCTAAGTTCCTCAGGTACACATAAGGCATTAAGGCTAATGCCGTTCCTCAGCACTCACCTTCTCCCTCTGCGCTTCAGTTCGTTGAGCAAAGTGACAACTTGACGAGCACCAGTACAGCCCAGTGGGTGCCCCAGTGCTATTGCTCCTCCCAAGGGGTTGACCTTCTCCATGGGAATGCCCAGCTTTTCAACACAGTAGACAGCCTAAAAAGACAGAGGGAATGGTTTCACGGAGGTGCTCTCACCCGTTAGCTCTCAACTCTCCTGCAACAGAGCTCAGAGGAGCAGAGAGAAGACAGATCTCATCTGCTTATGAAGAGGGGCAGCAAACCATCCTAGGCAGCTCTAGGGGCTTGTTACTGACACCGCCCAGTAACAAATTACAGCCCTTTTGAAACACAAGTTTTGCAAGTTGGTACGAGGATACGATAGTAAAGATTAAATTCTTACTCAGTGGACTTGTTTTTCTTTTTTTTTTCCCCCAATATTAAGCTGACCAAGCAATGCCCCGCTCATTTTTATATGACAGAAAGGGAAAATAGTCTGTGCATGTTATTAACATCGCCTGAAGATGTATTATGTGGAAAAAGTCCAAATCTTAATTTGGAGAGGAAGCTGAAATACACTCAGTCACCAAGGAATGCAGCAGCACAAACAGGAGGGTCGCTCACCTGGCTTGCAAAGGCTTCGTTAATTTCATATATATCGATGTCATTCAGAGTCAGACCTAGGGTTCAGAAAATCAGGGTTTAAAAGGAGGTATTTTTCCCTTACGACTACATCAAAGAGAGTAATTCACTTAAACACTTCCTTTATGAAGTTCTGTTTAGTTCTAACTTTATTTAGTTCTACTCCACTAATGACAATAAGAGGGTGACCATAGGTCCCCATAGTGAGGTATCTACACTTGTATGCACATTTATGTACATTAAAGACCATAAAACGCCACAGTCCATGGTACTGTGTCACCGAGTTCAAGTTTCCTTAGATTCAATGTGAATTATTTGCAGAGGGATTAAAGATTGAAGGGTATTTCGACACTGAAAGATCAAACTATAGGTGAGCACGTGACCATAGCAACGACAGGCTGACACACCACCACCCATCTGCTAGAAAAGCTATTTAACCCGATGAGTATGATAAGGATCTCTTTTAAGGTTTTGAATTTAAGTATATTTTTCTAGCATGTGCTATAAACACTGAAATCTCAATTTTCAGTCCACGGAGTCTGATCTGCCTCCTGCCCGACGCCGTGCCAAGGCCGAGAGGTCCTCACCTGCCTTCTCCACAGCGACAGGGATGGCGTAGGCTGGTCCTATGCCCATAACATCAGGTGGGACCCCAACCACAGCGAAGGACCTGAGCACCCCCAGGACTGGGAGCCCCAGTTGTGCTGCTTTCGAGCGTTTGGCCAGAAGAACAGCAGCCGCTCCGTCACTCACCTGGCTGGCATTACCTGTTGGAAGAGAGCTATTAACACCTCTATTTGCCTGCAGCACGTTCTCTGCAGATAATCCACAGGAACACCACGAATTAAGGAGCAGAGCTGACCTGCTGTGGTGCTACCATCCTCTTTGAAGGCGGGCTTCAGCTTTGCCAAGCCCTCCAGGGTGGTGGAGGGCCTAATCCCTTCGTCTTGGTGCACGGTGACTGTCTTTCGGTTGCCCTGGTTATCTACAACAGTGGTCTTCACTGGGACGATCTCTGCTTTAAACAGTCCCATCTGCTGAGCTTTTGCTGCTCTGGTAAAGGAGAGCATAAAAGGTTAAAATATTCTGGAGGTGAACTGCAAGAGAACGAATGCTAAGGAAAGATAGGGAGAGAATAAACTAAGGTGTGACTTGGTACACAGGTACATCATCGTCAAGTGGTGGACAACAGGTGAATACTTATTTCCAATCACAAGAAAACAAACTATTTATCTCTATGTCACAGGAAATACACCTCTAACCTTATAGGCATCTCACCCCAAACCCAGGTCAGAGGATCACACACTTCTGAGCAAGATCCCTGTTCTGTTCCCACCAAGACCTCTGTGACTGACTGGCCACCACCCGCCCACAGCACAAAGTTGTACTTGTCCTGTGGTACAGTCACACCACAACTACAAGAAAATAAATCAACCCTGATCTTCAAACATCAGTTCTCAAGTTTGAACAGGGCAACCAGGCTAAGCCTCCACATAACGCTAATAATTTCCAACAAGTTAAGGAATGGCTGAAGTTTCACTCACTCCTGGTCTTGTCCTACTAAAGACAAGTAGAGCTTCAGACCCCAGACTTCAGGTGTGATCTTCTGGCATTTAGATGTAACCTTTGAACCCAAAACGATTGTGATTTACGTTGCACAGTTCCCTGAATTTAGCAGTAAAGGTGTGGTGAAGGAAGGGTCTGGTCCCTGAGACAACAGCATCAGCAGAAGGGAACAACTGACAGGACCGGACTGATGTAAGTAGGCAGAATGCAATTAGCTAAATCACAATTAGCTCAGGGCACATAGTGTAAATCTTTCATATCAACAAGGAATTTAAAAGCCTCCACAGTAAAGCTGATTTAGAAGATTTACCTTCCAGCAGTAGAGCACCCTTTACAGGGAATACAAGTCAGAGACCGAAAGCTTGTTTTACCCTCATCACTTCATGCTTTTACTAATAAAATGAAAATATTTAATATTTCCAGGTAAGGGAGAGTCAGAGCAAAGCGCTGAGGGACAGATCAGCAGCTCCGCAGACACCCTGAGAGCAAGGCCAGAAAGTCACCCCTTTCCTCACGCGAGTGGCCAGGATGGTGTTCACATTGGGCCATGGGTGTGAGAAAGGCTGGCAGGCCAAGTTCCCTGGAACCTGGGCCAAAAACCCTTTGGGCCAGGGGTGTGAGAAAGGCTGGCAGGCCAAGTTCCCTGGAACCTGGGCCAAAATTTAAAGGTTAACTGGGTGTGCAGTTGACTTCCTGGATTAGATAAGTAATTGGGCCGGGGCGATGCTTGAACAGAGCTCTGAAAATGAGGTATAACTCTTTGACAGCAGCGACGTTAACACACGGCCTGTCACCCGCCGGTACAGCCCCGCGGATCCCAGGGGTCAGTTTGCTTTGGCAGTGATTGAACCCAAGGGGAAGGTCACTGGAGGCAGAATTGGACTCACTTGGAGCCCAACACCTGTGGGGAAGACAAACCTCTCAAAAGCTCGGCACTTCTTTAGAAGCAGTTACACTGAAATATTCCCTCTTAGGAAAGGTCCCTTCTGCTGCTGCCCCAACCTTCAAATGATGCCGAGCCAAAGCTACTATGAAACATCAAACCACGCACTCATTTCAGAAACGTCATGGAGGCTGCTTCCTTTGGATGATGAAAAGCACCAGGGCACGCACTGCTGAAGGGTGGTGTGGCCAGCGATAGGGCGCAGGGTCAGTCACACCATCCCCAGGGCAGCTCTGGGCTTCCTGATCACACCAGGACATTCTCTGGCCTTCGCTTCCCCATCTCAATCTTTACTCACTACTGAGGTTTTGAAGGCAATGGCTTTGAAGGCAAAGGCAACGGCTGCACTTAACGGCTCTCAGGATGTAGCAATGCTTTTTCTATCTGTATTTGTTCCTTAAATAAAAAATTAAAAAGAAAAAAAGAATAAAAAAGCATTTACTTTTGTTGAGAAGCCAAGGCAAAGGCATCTTGCTTCTTTCGGGAAACTCCAAACTTCTCTGCCACGTTTTCTGAGGTTATTCTGGTGAAAACAACGTGACAGAATTAATGCAACGACAACGCAAGGTCCAAGCGCTGGCTCTAGTCTCAAAGCCAACTGCTGCTTTCTCAACCTACGACTGCTTGGCAGAAGCAAATCCTGAGTCAAATCCAGAACCAAAACAAGGCTCAAATCCACTCTCAAGTTTTTGCTCATTAAGCCATTGAGCTTAAGACACGAGAAGCTTTTGTCAGAACTGCTGATCTTCCCCCCGTTTCACACCACGAATCCTCTACCAGGACCAAGGAGGCTGCCGACACGCGCAGATCCCACCCACCACGTTCAGGGCAGTCACTGAGGAGACAAACCATGGAGAAAACCCTTCAACTTTGGGAAGAGGAACCACTTACCCCATCGGAATAAGGCAGTCTCGAGCTTTGCTGTTGTCCATCATACTGGAACTGATATCACCAGGGTTGTTTGCACTTCTGAGGGACATTGTTTCCACACTAAACAGAAGAAAAATTGGGAGTTTGCCACCGGTGCTTTCCTACTGTATTTGTGGTAAATGCTCAGTTAAGACTGATCAAAACTCAGCATCTTGACAACATGCTTTCCCATCATCCAGTAAGAACTGGGTGAGGCAGAAGCTCTTCAATCATCAATATAAGAACTACCACGAAATGAAAACAGATTGCTACGTTAAATTGGTCATTGTTTCACCAAGAACAGGATAGCAACAGCTGAATTAGCTTGTTTCTACAGCTAGGTAGGAATCGTTAATCATTCTGGCACTTCTGTCCTCAAGCATAAGGAGAAATTTAAGCTGGAGTTTCCAGTGAGATTGTCAACAGCCACAAAAATGCCACTTACAGCCTAAGAACTGGTTGGCAGTAAATAAACAAAGTATTAAGCAAACCATGACACAGACTTCAGCAAGTTACAGCATTTGTATTTCGCAACACAGAGAATTTCAGACGTGGATCCCAGAGGCTGGAGTCTTTCACCTACAGGTGAGTTGACGGATTGGAGACACCCAGTTTTACTGCATAAAGTCAGTAAGACTAGTGAGCTTTGGAGAGCCAGTCTAGACCATGAAGCCTATGATGGGAAAAGGTGTGAATTCTACTCTGCTCCGCAAAAATATGTTAATGAAGAGTAAGTAACAAGGAAAATAGTCCTGGAAAATGCTGGACAAGCAGAAAATAAGGCTTTTTCCCAAGCAGCTTATAGTTTAAGTTCCTGATGGCACTTACTAACTCTAATATACAGCAGAGGAACACGCCTGTCTCAGGGAGCTGTTTATTTCACAGCAATCTAAGGAGGGCGTTTTCAGCATCAGATCTTGCTCAACCAGGGATGTGCAGGTGTTGAGAATTGTAAATATAAATATTTTCCTAAGGGCTACCCAATGACTGTGAACAGCAACAATTCAAGACAGGAGTTACCCAAGTAAAGGAAAAGAAAAACTCCATATTTTAGCCTCAGCATTAATGAATACTGTTTTTATTTTTTTATTCATTCTTCTGACATGAATGTGTACGTGGGCACTAATATTTCTCCAAAGCCAACCTAACACTTAAAGAATCCTCTAAAAAATAAAAACTTATGATGTAAGGACTGAAGCAAAGAACAGCATATCCATCCGCTGCAGAAGAACATCTCCTGTAAGTCTGCAGAACAGTTATTAGCTCTTCTGGGTCTAATAACCGGTCTTCTGTGAGGCTAGTTAATTGGAGATTAGTTAAAAATCTAATTATGGGAGGCTCTTCCAGGCTGTCAGAGCTCTGCACACAAGTGGTGTCCTACAGCAGGGCCAGAGACCCCAGTAAAACAGTCTTTTTGCACACTTATCCTCTTACTGCAACCCTGGCAGACACAGCACCAAGACCCACATCTCCATGAGAATTACAGGATTTTAAAGCATCCTCCCTCAGACCCTTTAAGATGACCCCGTCTTCCACCCAAGTACTCCTGGAAGTGCTCTGGAAATACATGGAAGTACACTGAAAGTACTCTTTGGAAGAAAGTACTCTTTGGAAGAAGCCTCTGGAAATACATGAATTGCATCTGCAGCCACCACTTCAATTCAGGTCCTAATTTTAGAGTTTCTTCACCCATTTCTCAAACAAGGACAGCATCCATTTCCCTGGCAGGGACAGACCTGGTTGGAAGGGATTTCTAACTCCTCACACAAGAGCTGCTGCAGAGGGACTGAGCGCTGCTGTGGGGCAGCCTAAGCAAGTGATATAAAAAAGACTTTCTTACCCACAGGCCATGCCAATGTCATAGGATCCATTTCGGATGCCACCTGTAAGAGCAGAAACATTCTTACTGTCACGGGCAGCAAAAGCACTTCCATTCCAGCTGGGGTTCCACAGACACCTCAAGCACCCACCACAGCAAACAGGGTGTTCCCTCCACCCCATCACCTGCCAGAACATCAGCCAGGTCAAGGAGCTGGTGGGGCTGAAGACAAACCATGGCCTGAGATGCGACCAGAGAGGACAGCAGGGACTCTTCTAGAAGCCACCTGATGTGGAAGCAATGGTAGAACTCATCCTTAGAAAACCAAATTACTTCTCTAGGGGTAAACTCCCCCACTCAAGGGTATAAAAGCATTCGACCAACACCACACTGAAAATTCCTTACAGCAGAAGCCATTATCACTATTTTTACTGCTCAGAGAGATCTGAGGAGAGGAGAAATAAGCACTTGGGGTGGGGCAGGCACCGACTCCCATCCAAGTACCCAAAGACTTACCAGCTATATTGATAATGGCCTGCAGCCCGGAGGAGCACTGCCGGTTCACGCTGCAGCACGGCACCGTCTCCGGAATACCACTGGAAAATAAGACACCGTTGGCAAAGGCTCAGTGATGAAAACCACACAACAAAGCAAACCTCTACGGACAACATTAAACCACTTGATTAAACTTTAACCCTAAAGCTCAAGGCAGATCCCTTTATACATTTTGACCTATTTGGTCCCGCGCCAAGAGAAAGCAAAGTTCAGAGATAATTTCCACGCAGCTCCCAGTGCTGTTTCCCCACAAAGCTGTCTTCTCTGTAGCCACGGCCCTCTCCAGTGCCCAGTTCCTGAGCTCTGATTGGGGCCAGACATGCTGAGAGGCTCTGCAATATTCATAATTACTGGTAGGCTGCGTCTGCACCTCTCCAAAGCGGTGGTTGTACGCTGATTTACGGGAGCAAACAGCACTTGGCAACAGACATTGGCTGAAATATTTGGAAGGTGCAATCCAGCTCAGTATGAGCCACCGACCACAGCCCCGGGAAGGAAACAGAAAGCCCTGAGACAACTCCACGGTTTCAGGCCCATGTAGGGCAGAGGGACGCGCAGCCTCGCAGCGCAGAGCGGCAGCGGGTGCAGCTGGGAGCCCACAACACAAGATCTCCCCGTCAGAGGCACCAACAGATTAACAGGCCTCGCTCTGCCTCCCTGTCCCTTCACCAGCAGGGCTCTCCAAACCCCGCCACGGTTCTCCAAACACTCGATCAAAGTCTAATTTCTAGGCAAAAGCTGATTTGCTGTCGCTTCTTAGGAGCGCAGCAGCCTCACTGCAACCTCTGCCCTGGTGCGGCTCCACAGCCAAGGCCTGAGAAGGGGAGGAGGAACCTCGAGAGCTTACCTTAGAAACTGTGCCACTCTTGCAATCAAAGCACCAGCTCCGGGCTGCAGCACATTCCCTGAGGGCAAAGATATGATTCCAGTCAATGGGCTGCATTTCCCTCGCTATTTGCCACAGGCATCGAGGGGATGTTGACATCTCCACTGCTTGGTACCACCCAGCACCCACATCAGAGCCTCAGTACTTGACAGAACCATTATGAAGGACACACAGATTTCACAAACCCAAGGCTCTGCACAAAACCCCTTCCAACCCCACGATTGGCAGGTGTCCCATGGGACACCAGGAGCGGCCCGTCCCACAGAGCTCTCCAAATTAGGAGTTTCCTGTTGGGATGGAGGTGGTTCCCTCACCCACACAGATGTCTCCCAGGACCTCAGGACGGAGGTTGACATCTTGAAGGACAGCCGTCATCACGGCAGACAGCAGCTCGTCGGGTGTAGTATCCTAAAAGCACAGGGGATTGATTAGTGCTACTTAACGAACACCAGAAGCCGCCCTGTCACCAGTTCACCCTCAGAGTACTTCAGAGGGCATGACACTTAAACAGCTTTACCTCTCAAGCTCACGAGGGTGGTTGTTTTCCTGTAAAAGCAGAATTATTCTGTGTGGTTTTTACCCTGGGTACCTTTCAAGCACCATAACACACGCTGCTTTCTCACCTAGCCCTGTTTTACACCAGCAGCCTTTGTAGGGCCTTCAAAGCCAAAAGACTACGGTGAGCTCTGTCACAAAACTCTGCGAGTGGAACCTCTGAATTCATCTGGTGAAAGAAACCCTCAGCTGGTGGGAAGCACCACAGGTGTGACAAGACCTGCTTGGAAGGATGACAAGCAACGTGCATCCTCGGGGCCATCCCAGCACCGTGCTCTGGCCTCGGTGGGAGCCCCAGAACCCTGCGCTTCCCACCCAGCGAGGAAAAGGGGCTGCTCAGGAGCAGGGTGGCAGGTCTGTGGAGAGGCTGTTTTTCCAAGTGCTTGCTCTGTTTGAGCACAGCAGGTAAAAGCAGCGCGGCAGAGACCTGCCCTGGGCTTCGAGGGGAGCTGGGAACTCATGGGTACCTTGGCTGGCATTTTTGGGGGTGCTGGTGGTCCTGCTGCACCGGTACCACGCACCCCCGGCATCAAACCCCCCATAAAATGCTGCTTTAAGAACGTGATAAAGCGGGGCCGAGCTCCTGGGGGTAGCGTGCCCACACCCAGGGGCAAGCAGAGGGGTCCCCACCTCCCTGGGGGTGAGCCACGCTTGTGGGGGGGGTCAGAGCCTGAGGGGACCCCAACACTGCACCTTGGAGAGGCCGCAGCGCCTGAGGGGAGCCTCAGCGCCTGAGGGGACCCTGACCCCGCACCCTGGAGGGGGCCGCAGCGCCTGAGGGGACCCCTCTCTGGGGGGGTCTCGGCACCTGAGGGGACCCGACCCCGCACCTGAAAGGCTGCAGCGCCTGAGGGGACCCTGACCCCGCACCCCGAGGGACCTCGGCGCCTGAGGGGACCCTGACCCCGCACCCTGGAGGGGGCTGCAGCGCCTGAGGGGACCCGGACCCCTCTCTGAGAAGGTCTCGGCGCCTGAGGGAACCCTGACCCCGCACCCCGAGGGACCTCGGCGCCTGAGGAGACCCCGACCCCGCACTCTGAGGCGCCCCCGCCTCAAGGGACCGCTGTCAGGCGCAGCTCCCCGGGAGGGGGCCGGGCGGGCAGGGTCTCCCCCGCGGGCCGTACCTTGAAGCCGCCGCGCTTGGCGCGGCCGATAGCCGTCCTCCGCCCGTGCACCACCACCAATGGCCGCAGCGCCTGAGGAGACCCCGACCCCGCACTCTGAGGCGCCCCCGCCCCAAGGGACCGCTGTCAGGCGCAGCTCCCCGGGAGGGGGCCGGGCGGGCAGGGTCTCCCCCGCGGGCCGTACCTTGAAGCCGCCGCGCTTGGCGCGGCCGATAGCCGTCCTCCGCCCGTGCACCACCACCACATCGTCGGGGCTGGCGGCCCGCGGAGATGCCCCGGCGCGGCTCCCGCAGGGCGCGGCCCGAATCCCGGTGCCGGCGGCCGGGGGGGAGCCGGCGAGGTGCCCCAGCACCAGCTGCACCCGCGGCATCGCCCCGTTCCCCGGCCCCGCCGCCATCTTGTGCCGCCTGCGGGGCGGGGGCGCCGCCAGACACTCCCGCCCCTCAATTGCATAACCCCGCCCCCAGGCCCGGGCTCGCGGCGGCGACGGGAGAGTGAACGGGAGAGAGCGAGAAAAACCGAATAAAGGATTAAAAATAAACAAACATTCACAGAAGTAAGTTTAAAATAAATAAAAATAAATAAAAAGTTACATTGATGAAGAAAAAAAAGGGGAGGAAACAGAAAGAAAAGGGAGGAAACAGAAAGAAAGGGGAGGAAACAGAAAGAAAAACAGAAACAAAGGGGAGGAAACGAAACAAAGGGGGAGGAAAAAGAAAAGAAAAAGGAAGGAGAAAAAAGAAAAAAGGAAGGAGAAAAAAATAGAAGAGAGGAGAGAAAAGAAAAAATAGAGGAAAAGCGAAGGGAGAAATAAGAAAGAGTAAAGAAGAAATAGAGAAGGTGAAGAACAAAGAGAAATAAGAAAAGGTTAAAGAAAGAGAAACACGAAAAGGTAAAAAAGAAATAGAAATATGAAAAAAGTAAAGAAGAAACTGAAATAAGAAAACTAAAGAAGAAAAATTCTCCTTTAAGAAACTTTAAAATAAAAATAAATAAAAATAAATAAAATTTAAAAAAAAAAACAAACAACAAAACAAACCTAAACCCCGGTGGGCCTGGAGAGGCTGAAGGCAGCAGGTGCCAGGAGAGAGGGCCGGGCAGAGCCGCAGGGTCTGGGACCTGCACAGATTCACTCCTTCCAGCAAACCCCAGGAACCCCCAGCCCTGTCCCTGCCCTATTTCCCCCGGGAGGGTCACTCCAGGCCCCTCGCCCCCCAGGAGCCGCTGGGCTGGGACTGGTCTGTACTGGTGTGCGGGGGACGGGAGATGTCCTGCTCCTCCCTCCCCCCCGGAGAAAATAATTTCTCCGCAGACACAGGGTGATGCCACACGCAGGGAAAGGCACTGGGCCCACTGTCGCCAAAATATAATAAAATAAACAAACAAACCAACCAAAAATCAAAATAAACAAAAAAAACAACTTTACATGGCATAATAGTACATTCTCTTTTCCTAGTTCCATTCTGTACATCAGAACACTGCATGGGTTTTAAAAAATAAAAAGGCAAAGGCACCTGAGGAGTGAGTTGCACACACAGACACATGTGTACAGACACACACACACACGTGTACAGACACACACACACCCCACATCCATCCACAGGAGGATCTGGGTTGGTTTGAGGGCCCCGTGAGCATTTTGGGGCAGCCAGGAACCCCGTTTTGCCCTCAAGGCTTCGGGAAGAAGGAAAACACCCACCCACCCCCCAAGGGCAGAGAAAATCCAACCCGAACAGATTCAATGAAAAAGTAGAAAACAGCATAAACAGGGGGTTGGGGTTTGTTGTTGTGTTTTTTTTTTTTTTTTGGTGAAAACATACTTTTCTGACAAAATCCTTCCCAGCCAACACAGATTATATTTGTTTTCTTGTTTGTTTTTTTTCCACCCATCCCATATTATTGAACAGATGGATGGATTTGGTCCTATTCACACAATAAAATTCTTTATTTTCCCCCCAGAGGAAGAGGACAATTTCCACCCCCCAGAGCAGAGCTGCCTGTCACTACCATGGTCACAAACCCCACAGCCCAGCCTGGGGAGGAACTGGCCTCAGGGAACCCTTTTAGCTATTTCTTTTAATTCGCCCTAAGGCTACCAGTCCTTGGTTTCCTTTAAATTGAAATAACTCGAATTTTTGCATCTCTTTTAGGAGCTGTGGCCAAGGAAACGCTCCTGTGGCCGCACCAGGACATCTTCACCTCTTCCACACAGAACTCTTCAAGGATGTGTGAAGTCACACAATCAAATTTCTCAATTTCCCCTTCAGCCCAAGCAACACTTTGCCACTTCAAATTTAGAAAAGTAATATTAAAATAAAGCTGTGTTTGACCCACTGGCCTAAAGCTGGAGGTCCCCCAGTAACTGCCTGTTTAACCCTTCACAGAGATGGGTGGAAATGGTTAATGCAGCAAGGAAGGGGTAGGTGTGAGGAATTTGCCCCAAATAACCAAGATCTGGTTAATTAATTAGCTCCCAGAGATTCTGCTTGCTCCATGCCCAGGTTTTTCAGCTGGTCAAAGAGGCTGGAGCCCAACTCTGCTTTCAACTGGCCCGTTTTCTTCTACAACTTCAACCATGCTGTGAGAAGAAACCTGTTTCCAGCCACCCTTGAGGGAGGCAGCTCGGTTCTCCTGGTCTGAGGGTTCACAGTCCTGAAGCTTCCAGGGAGGTGGCATCCCCCATCCCTGCACCTGCTGGCTGGTCCCACAAGGCATGGAGGAGAAGACACCCAACTCCATCTGCAGGTGCAGGTCCTCTCTGCCTAATTGTAGGCACCTGCTTGGGTTTTATGAAGACCCACCAGGCTCCTCCTGCTTCCAAAACACATCACACCCCTCCAGCCCCAGGGCAGCCACATGGGCAGGGCTCAGCAGGGCGATGGCTATGAGCCGAGAGCCACCCTCACCGAGACCCTCTTTCTCCAGCTCCCACCTGAACCCTGGTGGTTCCTAGGGTTCTGTCCACCACTGGCATCGACACCGTTTCAACATTCAACCCCATGGCAGAGGTCCCAGGCATCCGTCCGTGCGCGTACCCCGCAGAGACCTCCCGCGCCCCGAGAAGACCTCTTCTTCCACAACTCACACACATACACACACACACACAGGCAAAGCCAAGGTGGCTGCGCCCCACTCCGTGCTTTGTGCCCAGCTGAGCATCACTCCTCCATGGAACCGCTTTAAGGCACAGAACATAATTACACGCCGCCCCCCTGGAGACACCGGCCGGTCCCGCGGCCTCCAGGAGGGTTTGGTCCCCCCGGGAACAGGGACACCCGGGTCCCCCCTGACTCTACGGTCTGAGGATCATCTCCCTCCGGCCGGGCTGAAGCCTGTGTCTGTTCCCCTGCCAAAGGGTGGTGATGGCCACCGAGCATCTCCTTCCTCCGCTGCTCCCGGGGATGCTGCCAGCGCCGCTGTCACGCTGGGGCGGGGGACAGACCACATTCGCCGCACTTTCCCCAAGAGATAAGTAACATGGTGAGGTGGGGGGGGACAACCCCGACATCGCTGGTGGCAAGAAGGTTACTTGGTCCAAGGCCAGCACCTGCCCAGTCTGGGATATCCCTCGCTCCGAATTCCCAGTGCTGAAGATCCAGAGCGCAGCTTGGAAATCCAACGAGGCGGCGGGTGCTGAGCAAGAAGGGACCCAGACGGGCCACCACCAGGATGGCCTGGGACGGAGGTCTCAACCCCAGAGCCCAAAAGGCCGGGGGTCTGGTGGCCACCCCCCCTCCCGCTGGCGTTTCCCCATCCCGCTGCCGGGGGCTCAGAGCCCTCAGTTGACGAAGGGGTGTCTCAGCAGGTCCTCGGCCGTCGGCCTCCGCTTCTCCTCCACGAAGATCTGCTTGAGGAAGTTGCGGCAGGAGTTGGAGACGCCGTCGGGGAGCTGGGGTTTGGTGGGCTGGGTGGCGATTTTAAAAATAGCTGCCATGGCTTCGAACTCTGCCCACGGCGGCTTCTCCGTTAACATCTCCACCACAGTGCAGGCCACGCTCCTGCAACAACACCGAGCACGCAGGGGTGAGACGGCGGGTGAGGGACCGGGGTGGCTCTGCATCTGGAGTCTGATGGGCTCCAGGATTGCACCTGCCTGGCATAGGCTGCACGGGGAGTAAACCCCCGTGAGAGATGGGCACAGGTCTCCAGTACGTGTGGAGAACCCTGAAGCTCACTGGTCACACTGGTCCCTGGCACTAGCGAGAGGGAACTTGTGAGCCTCACCCCAAAGGTGGTGGCTTTTCTGCCCGTGTTAACGGGCAGATATTTTCATAAAATCACATGAGACCTTATCGGAGGGTGCCCTGGAGGGAAACCCAGGCACAAGTTTAGACACCACAGTTTCACCAATAGTTCCCCAGGAAACTGAGCCCAAGTGAAAGGTGTTCATCTACATCCAACTTCATCTCGGCCATGCATCTGAAGGTGCAAGCCAGATGAGCAGAAAAGAGCCTGAGAGCTTTCCCTGGGCTTGTTGAGGAGTCCTCGTCTCAGCAGGGACCCTCTCTGCCACCTCCATTCGTAGCTGCTCCTAAAAAATGGACACACACTCCCTCTCAGCCAGCGCAGGGCTGCCTGCTAAGGACTACCTAAGGTTTCCCCCTGAGGTTTCCAGTGGAGGGACCAGTTCCTGTTGACCCTACTTTGCTTGGGCACTCCATGGAAAGCACACTGTGAAAACAGTGCTCCCTCCCCATTTATTGGGAGGATTAGTAGCTTTATCCCAGCTCTTTTAGGCTCCATCTGACATCTGTGGATCTCCACAAATCAAAACATTCACAGGCAGCCAGTTATTTTGGTTGTCTTTGGGCCCGAGCCACACGCAAACACCCAGCAGCAGTTTTTGAGAGGCTGCACAAGATCCCCCTGAGCCGGGTTTAGCTACAACACGGTCCCTCTGGATTATCTGCACAGCTGAGCCTAACATTTAGCTCCTATTTCCATCCTTTTCACTGCTCCATCTTCCAACTACCAGCAATACCCATTGCTCCCATCCCACCTTCCCAAAGGGGTCATTTGTTTAAGCAGCAGTGGTGGGGTTTCTACTGTATATTCCTTACCACACGTCAGCTTTCCTTCCGTAGCCTTCTCCACTGATAACCTCTGGGCTCATCCAGTATGGCGTTCCCGTGACAGATTTCATCCTAGTCCCAGACCTGCAGATGGTCTGGATGCGTTTGCTGGCCCCAAAATCTCCAAGTTTCACATTTCCAGCAGAATCTCTCAAAATATTGGCACCTAGAGATGAAAAGCAAAACCAAAAACCCCAAGAGATGAGGCAGCAACCTCAGTTGAAGTGACTACAGTGAGAAGAGCAGGAAGAGAAGAGCAAAGAGCTAGACAAGAAGGAGCTTTCTGGGGCCTGGACTCAGAATTATGCAAACCCTCCCCTCTCCTAAGGCTCTCCAAGAGGGTTGACTCCCATCAGCTCTCCTGGACTGTCCCACTCAGCAGGTTTCCCAAAATCGAGCAGGGAATGGGAGATGACAGACCATCCTCCCCACACACGGGCAGAAGAGGAGCCTCAGATCCCTCTGACCTCCAGGGCCTCTCAGTTCTTGGGTGTTACACCGTTTCCCAAAAGCGAGCAGGGAATGGGAGATGACAGACCATCCTCCCCACACACGGGCAGAAGAGGAGCCTCAGATCCCTCTGACCTCCAGGGCCTCTCAGTTCTTGGGTGTTACACCAGGTTTTTAGAGGTGTAAGGGCAGTTAACAATAACTCCTCTCAAGAACACTTAATCTGGGCTTCCCAAACAGGACAGCATAAGATTTTGGTTCAGGTGCTTGTTCAAGATCCTCATGGTTCAAACGGATGAAGGCCAGGGGCAAAAATACTTTAAATACCAGATCCCAGCACTATGTTTTGCACAAGAATTTATGCTGGGGTGGGGGGAGGTTAGGTTGGACAAATTCAAGCAAGCAAGAAGCCTCTCTGTATTACCTACTCACCTTTAATGTCCCTGTGGACAATCATATTGCTGTGTAAGTAGAAGACTCCCTGCAGGATCTGCCTGGTGTACTTCCGTGTGACGTTCTCGGTCAGAGCACCGTAAGCTTTTAGCTGGTCCTTTATTGAGCCCTGTTGCAAAGGAACAACACACACAAGCTCTAAGGACCAGCAGAACCCAGGGCATCACGTCACAGTGACATTTTAACTTCCCTGACCACTGTCTCCCAGCTTTAAAAAGCCACTCTGCCGTAGAAACGGCAAGATAAAAAATCCACCAAGTGCTGAACGGAGCAAAGGCTTGTCCACAGTGTCCCAGACCCCAGTGGAGAAAGAGGTATGGTCTTTGGTGCCTTTCAGTGCTACCTTCTGCCAACGCTGCAGATCTTTTTCCCCCTCTAGTGGCTGGACATCACCAATAGCTCATGGAGAAGGACCAAAACGTCGAGGAGTTATAACTCAAATGAGAGGATCAACTGGACCAGTTCTTCAGGGCCAAGCTGATGAGTCAGTCTCCTGTGAAGCCTCCCCACCCCCCAACTTGTCACAGCAGAGATTACCCACTGCCACGAGGAGGACAGACTCGAGGGACATGATCAGCCCCACATGGGATTGCTTCAACAAGAAGACCCAGGGCAGACAATTTGCAAGTACCCAGCCTTGATTTTCTGACCCATGCTCCTACTGGTTTGATTTTATTGATCGAAGAAGGAAGGAAACAGGGGTGCAGACCATCTGCAGGACATTGACCCCCTTGGTTTTAACTGTATTTTCTGTCCACTTGGAAATGGATGTCCCTCACTATGCTGGAGCTGGGCTTTAGCAGGGATGAACCAGAAGCAGATTTGAGGTTCAACCAGAGAGGTCATACCCAGATCCATCTCCAGCATCCAGGTTGGCTGAAGAGCAAGAGGGGAAACTCATCCTGTTTCTGCCTGTCCTGCAACTCTGGGGTTGATCCAAGATTGCCATAGTCCTTCTGGTCTGGGACTGCGCTCCATGTCAGTCACTCAAACTGTATCAGCTTTTCCACATCCACCCACCTCTGCTGCTGCTCTGCCCAGCTCCTGTTTTGGCCTTCTTTTGAGGCTGGTGGTGATCCTGTGGATGGGCCTCTTGTTTCTCTCTCACAGTGCTACTGAAGTACCCTGAGATGCTCTGAAACTACCCCCCCCGCCCCCCAAAACAACTTGTATCCGGGGTATATTTCCTCACCCACAACCCAAACAAGCTTTCTTATCCTGGCCTCCCTCACCCTGATGGGGGGACACCAAACAAGAAGGGAAAACGGGGTCTTCAAGGCCTGTGGTCAAATAGATCATTCTGTTTTCCAAGCATAAATTTAAAAAATAAATAGTTTATGGACAGGGAAGGACAGAAAATACAGAGTCAGCTATTTAATGGGAGCAATCATAAGAGTGCCAGGCTGATGGTGCACCCAAGGTTGGCTCCGTGAAGAATCTGCTGAGCTGGCTGTGTTAAATCAGAAGCTTGTCCAGACAAACGCTGCAGAGCTGCTGTCCTGCAAGGTTTGGGAACTCAACCACTTCCACTGGCCTTGGAAACCAAAGCCCTGAGCTGCTTTTGTGAAATGAGCCCTTGTCGCAACACAAAAAGTCAATCTGTATTTGGTCAGAGCTCTGGTTTATCATTAAAAAAACAAACATTCAACTTCCAGCCCTGCCCTGGCATCGAATGCTAACAAACATCATCACGCTGCAGGATAAGCAGCTGGTGAAGGGGGGACTGGTGAAAGTCCTGGGGTTTGCTCCTCTGGGTCCACACCTCGTGGTTGGGCCTGGAAGGGAGATGCCTGCCCGCAGGACGGGGCTTCGAAGGGACTCCATCCCTCAGAAGTCCACCTGATTGCTCACGTGTGAGATGTGTTAGGAAAGCTTTTAGCACGTTTACTAACGACCAAAAATTCTTTGCAAGCAGATGACTTCATAGTCCCTTCTGACCTTACAAATCTCTGTATAAACAAGGCTTTATTCTCCCACACTCTGGGGAATGAATCCAGCTGGACAGGCGGGACTTAGAACGGATCCTCCAGCAATGGAAATAGCATTACCCTGGTTTATACCAACCCATGACTTTGTCTGAATGGCTGATGTAACTCTCATGCTCGCAAAAGGAGAAAGATCTTCAGCTGATCTGCATACCTTCTCCAGCCCCTGCTTAGACTCCCTCAAAGCTTCCTGATCTTTTTCCCTAGGGATAGGTGATTTCCATCTATATCACCATTCCCTAGGTGGAATCAACCTGTACCAGCAAAGTCACAAATTTAAGCTGCTCCTCCACGAGAGGAGAACGCTACCAATGAAAAGTTCCATCCTGAACAGGAGAAGACTTACAAGTCAGTAACACTGTTCTCAATACACACGTGCTGAAAGCCGTAAATAATTGGTGACAGCTGTGGGTGGACAGTTGTACTATTAGCTTTTCCTGCAGGGATTTGCAATAAATACTTAAGGATGGGCTCAGGCCACAGTGTTTGGAGCCAGATCTGCATCATGTCCCACATCCACCAAGTTCAGATTCCAGACTGGGAACACACCCTGCTCCAGGATTCAAACCTAAAACCTGCCTTCAAGGCTCTTGATTTCACCCACTGCACGTTGAGGAGCTTCACCATGACATCTGCCTCACAACCTGAGCTTTCCCAGGCCATAAGGCTGTGGAGCTCCACTGCTTCGCTTTGGCTCATCAGATACAGAGCAGCTCAACTGGAGAGTTTAACTCCAGATCCAAATTTCACCAGACTCCAGGGCAGTCTAAATCTGTTCTCTATCATTCAGGACAATCTTTAGCAGGAGCCACGCTTACCCCTGGCATGTATTCAACAAAGATAGACAGTTTCTTCTGCTGAATATCCCGCAAACACCCGTAGTACTGCACTATCCTGTCATGATGGAGGGTCTTCAACAGCTGAATCTCACATTCTAAGGCATTCACCTCCTGCAATAAAACAGACACGCTTTGTGATGAAAGGGAATGGCTACTCTGGGAATATTATGCAAATATTGCTCGTTGCTGAGCGCTCTTTTCGTAGCACCAGGCTCAGAAACGAGGAGCGCTACCCTAGAAAAAAGGTAAGGAGAAAGACAGATGGGACACACAAGGGCTTGGCTTTGAGACAGATGTACTTATTTCCTTGTGCTCAAGGAGTTTTTCAGAAAGGTGTGAATAAACACACCAGAAAAGTTAGTGGGAAGAAGGAAGAGCAGACAGACCTTCAAGAGATCATACCCAAGACAAAGCAAGCCAACGTGATCAAGGAACTGGAAGGAAGAAGGTCACCGGAGCATGCTGACTGGTGCCACAAGCCATTGGGGACCACTCCGAAGAGGGCAAACACCACCCACTCTCTCCCATCAGGGACACGGACCTCTCTGCCACCTCTGCCCCCAACCTCCAGCCCACAACCCCCCGACACGCAGCGGGACGCGGTCCTGCCCTCGTACTCACTTTACTCGTCTCTTGACTGTCAGGGTCAAAAGGCACCTGCTTCACCGCCAGCTCCCGGCCAGTGTCAGCGTCGTAGCAGAGGTAAACTTCCCCAAAAGCTCCTCTTCCGAGCAGCTTCCCCAGCCTCCAGTTCACAGGTGCCTGCAGGGCTGAGAGAAGAGCACAGCAAGGAGACTTCAGCATCAGGGTCCACCTGACCCTACAGAGTGCAGATCAGGCTCTCAACGAGCTCATCCTCTCCCGGGGGCACCAGGAAAAACCAGTTTTAACTGCACTAGTGCTACTGGTGTGTGTGTGTGGGGGGGATGTCTCCCACTCTGCATTCGTATAATGCAGAAACAAGTCTCAGAGAAGTCACATTTCTTTAAGAGTCCTTCCTCCAAAACCCGCTTTCTTAGCCAATGTTGGACTTTCTCTCCCTGCTCTAGGAGAGTGGTTTGCACGTTACAGCAGGGCTGAGGAGCAACCCCAGGTAGGGACCAGCAAGGGGTTTTATCTCACTGGTCATTCCTAGGTTGTTCTCCATCACCGAACAGGCCCAGAATGCACCAATTTGTATAGCTTGGGCAGCCGTGTGATACCAGAGCAGCCTGCAGTGCCACTTTTGGGTGCTGGGGTGACAGCAATGGAAGGAGAATAGCAAGGAGTGGAGCCCTCTGGATGCATTTGCTCCCACATCCCACGTCTCCTGGAAGCTTCTGTTGCACGAGCACATTGACAGCCCGACACACAAACCGTTTTCTGCAACTCAGTGAGTGATGAACACCAGTTGACCCCTCTCAACTCAAGGCCAAGGTAAGAGACAGTGGGTTGTATTAAATCTTCCTCACTGAGACGTAAGCTGGCACAGCGTGCCTTGTGTTGGGGATGGGATGGAGGTGCATTCACACACAGTTAGTTTAGCTGATGCCTGTTCACTCTGCAGGTGACAGCAACTCAATTTTGTGTCAAGACCTGCTTGTACTGAGACCTCAGGCACCGGCAGCTTTGATTCACTTACAGTTCCGAGCTTTCGTAGGGGAGGTGCTGCAGACCTGCAGACTTTTTTCACAATTGTTCCTCCGTTTGGGCCTGTACTCATCATACTGCAAGGTGCTGAGCTTGCTGTCCCCGTTAAAGCTCTTGGTTCGGCTGGAAGGGACAAGCTGAAACAGCTTCTCCTGCGGGAAGCAACTCCTGGGAAAAGTCCTCCGACCTGTTGGAGAAAAGGGGGAGAGTTATGACAGGAACACACACACCAGCTTGGATCTACTTATAGAATCATAGAATGGTTTGGGTTGGAAGGCACCTTCAAGGTCATCTAATTCCAACCCCCTGCCATGGGTAGGGACATCACCACTTTGTGGTACACCTCTTCAAATTAAACAAGTTCAAAGAAACTGAAGCAAAGCCTTGTGAACATTTGTAATTCAATTTAAGACTTGTTAACGGCAGGCCTTCCATCTAATGCAGAATGTTTCCAGTGGGGTTTGCAATGATTTAATTACGTTAGAGTTTTTGTTGGTTGTTAATCACAATTAAACTCCGAACAGGCTGGGATTTACATTGCAAATTATCCCTGGCAATCCCCTAAGACCACAATACAAATGACCACACAAGCAGTGCCAGATCTCACGATAACTGCTTGCACAAGGGTGGTGTCAGTGAGACATGAAGTTCATTCTGGAAGGCTCAAAATGCTGTCTGCAAGTCCTCAGTACTTTTTTTTTTTCCAAGGAATTAGATTCTTATTCAGTTTTGCCTCCCACCACTTGCAGTCTCCCACAGTGAAAGAAGGAGCAGCAACGGGGTGATGGAGTGGTCCTCAAAGCTCAAAAGCTTAAAACAGGGATGTGAACAGATACTGCTCCCCTGGAATTTCTCGGGGATTTTGTACAGCCCTGTGAGAAACCTGCTGTGAAGGTCACCAACCAGCATCCTCAAAAGCAAGTGATTTAGGGGAACAGGTTGATATCACCAGGGCTGAGAAATGCTACCCATCCATGTGGCCAAGTTAAAACATGGGGTATAAGCAGAGGAGGGAGCTGAGCTTTCATACATGCTGCAGATGCTTAGTGCTTCCCAAGAGCAGACCTGCAAGGACTCACAGAGGATGCCCTTCAGAACATGCAATTGAATCCCGAATTACTTGGTTCTTCTCCTTTAGGCACTGTCACCAGCCACCAATATCTCGGACCAAGCACCTCCCTCCCCAACCCTCCACCATCTTCTCACCATCACTGTAGTCCTTGCGGCTCTGAGAGAGGTGGTACTGCCTCGGGAAGGTCCCACCTTTCCCAAACCTCTCGCAGAAGGGAACGTCGAAATCTGACAAGAGGAAAGAAGAGAGGTGTTTCTGAGATCAGCTCTGCTTCAAATGCCCAGAGAGCTTCCTATGGGAAAGCATTCTGGTCTTCACACTGAATTACAGGCAAGAAGGAGGTGACAAGCTGTTCATTTTACAGGACTAGACATTCCCCAAGGCTCACCCTGAAATCTGTCCACAGTCACACGCTCCTTAGTGGAAAATAAGGGTTATACACACTGGTTTCAGTCCCCCCCTAAAGCAAACAGAGATTTAACCACTGACTTTATAGACCCTGCTCCTCACTGTTCAAATACAAGGCAGGGGATTAACATTGACCATGCCTGGTTTCCAAAACAGAGCACTAAACATCTTATTTGTACATGGAAAATGCAAAAATTAGTGTGAAAACAGAACTGCCGGGCAGGGTCAGGCTCAGATCCATCTACTTGAAAATCTCTGCTCTGATATCAGCTATTTCCAGGGAAATACAAGAATCCAGCACTTGGCTAACACCAGACAATCCCTCCCCTCTTCTCAGATGCAACTCCTGACCTTGGAAAGCCAGAGAGCAAGTTATACCCCTACAGCTCCAAAGTTTTATATTTACTTTGATTAAATGCTAGAAAGATAGAATATTCAGAAGGGATTAAGGACCATCGGAGTTTAGATTAGACACAAGATTATGAGAGAGATGGATGGACGTGTGAGATAAGGGCATAATTTTTTTTAATAAAAAAAAACCACAGCACAGGAAGCCATTGCTGGTAGCACTGAATAACTTGAGATTAAAATATCTGTCATTTACCCCCGATCTTGCACCTCCTGTTTTTCCTCCATCCAACTCTAACCACACAGTCCATTCTGATTGTTTGTTTGTCTTAGCCTGGGGCCAGCAGCAGCTCCTTGGAGGCCACTCCTTGGCCTCGGTGGTGCTTCAGCATGATTTCCCCATTACAGCAGCGCGAGAGGAGCGCGTAACGGCTGAAATATGGTCAGCGAGAAAAGCAGCAGGGACAGGTCAAGAGGTTCTCAGCAAGTCATGTGTGAGCGACGATGCCGAGTGGGGTCTCAGAGCAAAACACCTCCCCTGCCACTGGGGATGTATTAAAACCCTCAGCGACACGGACTGACTGCAGCTTCAGCTCTACATTTCAATCCAGAAATGAGTTCTCGTGCCACAGGCTGAGTGCCATTTGTTCATTTTTAATAGTGAGAGTCATTAGAATATTACAGAGTTTCCATGACTTAACCAGCTGGATGTTTAGAAGTGATTAAGCAGTAACCTATGATCCTTGCAAGTTACCAGTACGCTTTCTCTACCAGCAATTGTGATGTGACAGATTATTATTGATACAAGTGAAGAGGTACAATTCCCTAGAGAGTCTGGGACTCAGGATTTGTGCATAGCACAGCTCACAGAAACTAACAGAAACAAAAGGTGATACCACAAGCCTGTTTCCACCTTCTCAGCATCTTACAGTTGTCTCTAAATACAAGACCAAGACCCCTCTCGGCACCTTCTCCCAATACACAAGCTCATATCTGACCTTCCAGCAGCTTTACTCGCTTTCATCCATTTACTTCAGGGCCCTTGGAACCCAGTCTGGATTGTTGTTGCTGTAAACTGATTCCCAAACCAGCCCCAAAGGCTCTTCAGTGCCACCACTACTGCTGCAGAGCCAAGAAAGGTTCATGATGACAAGAGCAGCCCTGCCTATGATGCTCTCAGTCTTTTAATTTTAGAGAACATTCATGTTTGATCATTGCAGGGTCATTTCTGACGCAAAACTTAAGCAATGGAGCTGGTTTGCTTGATTGTTTCTAATTACTTTTCATGCAGTGCCATCTCTCTAATAGCCTTTATCCAGTCTCTTTATACACGCTTTTTATACCTTTAAGCAAATACGAACCTCCAGGAGTGCTTACCCATGCAATCAAGACTGTCTTTGGGATGGCTCTTCCTTCCAGGAACAGAGGTTTGGGTAAAGGGAGGGCTGCAAAGGGATGAGAATAAAAAAAAGATACACTTTATTATATCAGAAAGGCTGTGGAATGAATTAGGAAGCGGTTACACACAGAAAGGACAGGCACACGACGCACTGATCCCTGACCAGCTGCCATCCTCAACCTGCACGAGAATGAAGACTGGATTTTTGCTGGATGACAGCTTGTTCCTGTGGCAGAAAAAAGGGATGCTGCAGGAAACACAGCCACCAGGCTAAAAACGAAGCAGCCAGAGACCATAACACCCACGCACAAGACGACACTAGAGGAGGGCTGCAGACTTCTCCTCCCCCAATGTCAAGTGTTCAACCACGCAACTCCGCTTTCTGTGAACATGGTTTAGTTTCTGTGGATGTTCACACTGCAGTCCCTCAGTTACGCTTGATTCACGTGGGTCTCCCCATCTCTGCATCATCCTCCACCTTCCTTACACAGGAGGGTCCATATCACCACTGGGCACACACCCCCTTCCCAGGAGACCAGGAGGGAGACAGTGAGCTTCGTGCTTCGAGGCTCAAGGTCTTTAAATTACATTGAGAGGATGAGAAAGCTCTGCAAGAGGATCTCAGCCATCCTAATTTCACCCCTGTCTCTTCAAGGGCCAACAAGGAGGATCTGGATTGATGATTCCAGATGATTCCACTCTCCCTTTTAACAAAATGGGCACAGTAGTAGAAATCACTTTGTAAAGTGCTCTGAAATCTACTCATGTCAAAGCTGATCATGGCAGGTTTGCTACGGTGAAGAGGAATTTATCATGTTATTTCCTAGCATCAGACAGGTCACCACGCCTGGTGACTAGTTCTGCCCTCTTGAGGCTAATGCCATCTCCAGGAATTGGTTGCAAGGGCTCAGCTATGGCTTTGCAGGAATAATCATACTTACTCCTCTTTCTGCCTTTGAAGAATATAGCCCTGCTCGTGCTTTTCCAGCTCCTGGACCCCATGACCAAACGCAGCTGCCTCCTCCTCTGTATGTGAAATCAAGCCATGTCACCCTCTCACAAAACATAGAATTGTCTGGGTTGGAAGGGGCCTTTATGATCTGGTCCAACCATTAACCTAAGTCTGATAAAAATCCCATCACTAAGCCATGTCACTAAGCACTACATCAACCCGTCTATTTAAATACCTCCAGGGATGGTGCCTCAACCCCTTCCCTGGGCAGCCCATTCCACGGTTTAATAACCCTTTCAATGTAAAAATTTTTTCCTAATATCCAATCTGAACCTCCCCTGGTGCAACTCGAGGCCATTTCCTCTTGTCCTGTCACCCGTGACTGAAGAGAAGAGGATGACCCCTGCCTCTCTACAACTTCCTTTCAGGTAGTTGCGAGAAGGTCTCCCCTCAGCCTCCTTTTCTCCAGGCTGAACAACCCCAGCTCCCTCAGCCTCTCCTCATAAGACTTATTCTCCAGAACACGTCTAACCCTCTTCTCTTGGTTCACAGTGAAGTGTTATAACCCAGCATGCCCGGGGAGGAGGAGGAGGAGGCACGGAGAGGGTAACGGAGTTACGTCTAATGCTTTTCTCTTGGTTCACAGTGAAGTGTTATAACCAGGCTGGGCTCTTTCTGTTGTTCTTCCTAACAAAGTCTATGCAAAAGCAAACCTGGGACATAGAGGCCGGGAGCACAAGGCATCCAGCTTTCATACAACCCTAACAATGAAAAATTACATCACAGGAAATTATTAAAAGCCACAAAAAGGAAATGGACCTTGATGCTGAGACAGACCCGCAGTGCACAGAGCTGCAAACCCGAAGCACGCTACACAATCACATCAACACAGCCTGGAACACAGCCCTGTGCTGCACAGCAAAAGCAAT